GATAAAAAGTTATAGCCATTTAAAAAATTGAAACACTTCGTGTAACTGTTGAGTATAGACTTCCTGCACCATACTATATTTAAGACTTTTAAAACATATTCAACCTAATCTATTAATTTATAAAATATAAAATTCTATATATTTTATAGTGCTAAAGATTTTTATTTAGATAAAACTCATGTTCACGTTATCTTCTACAGTATATCGATATACCTAAAAATCTGAAAAAAGTACTTTAGTAAAACTTGTATTAAATAATACGTATCGGTATATAAAATAAAGTATATACAGGTTTTTCAAGAAAATGCAATCTCATACGTAGACTTAAAGCATGCAAACTTGCCTGTTAAGCTTTACAGTAAATGTATAAAATTTGACTTTTCATTAAATCTATGCCTGTACCGAATTGATTTTATGCAAAGACCGGAGAATCTAATACTGTTTAGCCACCTACGTACCTTGGTACACATTTTCCGGATGCGTTTTTACCTTAGGTGGTGCAAACATTTGCGTTGTGTCATTAAAAAAATGCTTCCTTTAATAGTCATCTAATGTTTATTTTTTGCGATATAGTTGCACCAACCAGTTTTGCCTTATGATAACTTATCTAATCAATAAGACGGAAGTCTCAACTTTGACTTTTCAACGGTTAACTAATTCAAACATAAAAAACTCTCAATTTCCGGGAGTGTATAATGTCTGTTTCGGATCCGTCGCCAGAGTCATTTAGTGAACAAAGCAATGGAAATGAAGATATCGAGGAGTAAGTTTAACTGATCAAAAAAACTGTTTTTGCATAAGCATCAAAAATGATTTGTTTATAAACGTGTCCAGGGGATTAAATACTGAATTTTCAACACCTTTACAAGTTGGACAACCTGAAACTTCACCAAATATATCACCTAAGGCTACAGTGGTTAGTGAAATGTTAGATTATCTGTCGAGCTTGAGAGGCAACTAATTTCGAATTATCTTTTCTTGTAGGCATTCTCTATACTTTGTGATCTATTAGATGAATGTACATTAGACGTAATATTTGAAGCGCATCGAGAAGCAAAATTGTCATCATCCATTTGCCAAATATGCAATACTGAGTGAGTCGATAACTATCACAATCATTTTGTTCAATCATTGTTATTTCTATTAATACTCACACTGTCACTGCTATTAATATGTAGGTGTCGCTCTTTTGGTATGTAATAAAATGTAAAAATATCACTTTCACACATATACTACTTTCGCTGATCGTGCATCTTTGTTCAAGTGGTTCAACCGGGGATGGATATTTTTGGCAATCATCCTCAACTGAATAACCCTCCAACTTTTGAATGTGTAAACTGCCAGCGTCCTTATCCATCAAAAAGATATGCACCACATCTTGAAAAATGTATGGGTCTGGCTGGTAGAAGTTCAAGTCGGGTTGCCAATCTAAGGTAGCATATAACAACACTCATTCGATTGATTATAGGTTATTTTAGAAGCTTATTAAAGGATGCGATTATCAAATTAATTTTAGGTTAAGCAGCGAAGGGAATCCTTCGTCACCGTACACTCCCGTTTACTCTGAAGACAACGCAAATCAAAGTGATTCTGATGATGATTTATATGTCGAAAAAAAACGTAAGTTCGTCATTTACCCTATTTTGAATAAGCAAAAGCAGATCAATTTATTTTTTCATGATATTATACTCAATGTCTGTTTTATTTTAGGCAAGAAATCAAATGGGAAATCGAGGGTAAGCATATAATAAATATTTGTTATATGTTACATATAAACATTTTAAATTTTTAAAAATGTAATTGCTAAATATGTAGGCATCATCGCCGGCCAAATTTTCCAAGCTAAGAAGACAAAAGTCGTCTTGCAAGTATTACATAAATGTCAGATATTTATTCAATGTAACGATAATAATTTCATATCTATTATTGCAGTGTCGGACACGGTCGAAGCTCCGAACTTTGTCTCATCGATTGTGGCAAAGGTATTTGATAATTAAGGGTTTATTGTCATTCATCACTAAATATTTACTCTAATCATTTACTTTTCGCCTTTTACGCAGTTGAAGTGTAAATATGAAATAGAGGTGATAATTTAGGCTATCTCAATAATTATATTAAGTTCGTTTTATTTCAGTGATACCAGGAGAAGCTTCAAGATCACAAAGCCCTGCACCTTCTTCAAAATCTGACAGCCCGTATCGTAGTCAATAGGGATGGTAAAGTTCTAAAACCTTTAGGCTCCAAAACCTTTAGGTTCCAGAGTAAAAACCTAAGAATCAGGTTTTGTATAACAAGTTCCAAACCTAAGGTAAATCTGGTTTGGTCAAACCAAAATTAAAACCTGGTTCTCAATATTTTGTAAGACAAAAAAAAAAAAAAATGTTAATAAAAAGTTACTTAATTCATGTCAACCGTTTAGGATATATATTTTTTGATCTTCTGAATAACTTACTTAATATGCTAATATTGATTTATTTTATAAAATTTTGACTTTTATAAGGTAGAAGGTAAAGTGACAGCCACACAATATCGAGGTTAACACGAGGTCTATCAAAGAGAGTTTAATGATTCTTATACATTCGTTTTCAATCACTGGATAACCAAATAATCTTTTTATTCATATTTGGCGTTCAATTTTATGTCGATCTATCGACCCACCACCTTATCTCTCAAATGATAAAATTATTTAGTACTAATAAATGTTATGCAAACACAAGTTACATTTCTTTTCTATTAGAGTTTAAATAAAATAAATTTTAACACCGCTATAATACCCTCCTTACGTAGTGATTGATAAAAAATATATATATCGTAATTTGTGATCTGTAATCTTGTCTTTTTTGTGTTTGTTCGAATATTTCCAACATAACCCGGATCAGAATTTCCAAATAAATCCAAATTTTTAGTTATTAGCGCTTAGAAATAATTGTTAGCGCTTGGTGTTATGCTAAATTTACTTTTATAGTAAAATATCGATTATTTTTGGTAAATGACTTTCTTTTATTTAACAATTTTTGGTAATTTTGGGTTTCACAAAATTCAACCGATTGTAGTCTATATTCTATTCTCTTCTCATATGAGCTACTCAAGCTAATAAGCTGCTCAAGCTCATGAGGTGCTCAATGCTCAAGCGCTCTCATACGTAAAACCAAAGATGCGATAATATATGATAGTAAAAATAAGAATTTTAGACACAAAAATCTGTGACCTGATATAAATTTGTATACCTCTTTACTAGATATTTAATAATTTTCATTTTTTTTTCGTCGGATTTTTTACTGGGCTAATGAATTAATAATCGCAGATCGTCAAAGACTTGAGCGAAAGAATTTGTTAATCATTTCTAAATACATAATGATCACCAGACAAATATAAGGATAGATTAGTGGAGCAACTAAAA